GGGAAATGCTACGGTTGTGTTACTTCTGGCACAGAAATAGATTTTACAGCAGCAAGGTCAAGGCCTGATTCCCGGGGGAGACCACAGCTGGGCAGTGGTGCTCTAAAAATGAGCAGGGTGCTCTACAAAGCCATTCAGCCACTGTTGGATCCAAGGAGGCTGGCCAGGAGAGTGGACCCCCCTCAGGCAGACGGGGTTTCCTTGTGAAGTCTGACTCACAGGAGATGTGCCAACGTGCAGCCGAGAAACGGACCTCCGGTAGCTCCTTAGATGGAACTTTCTGTAAAAAACAGGAGCCAGCTGGACTTGTGAGGTTTTCTTTCTGCTCCAGAAAACCTGTGGAGACATTTCCCAACTGTGGGCTTAGGAAGCCACAATTCTCAGGCTTTAGCCCAGCTTCTAATGGCCTTAGGATTCTCTAAAATGTTTCTGAGGGCCCTGTTGGGTGACCCCTTGAACTATCAGAGGTGAGGTTGGGGTGGGGAAAGGCGAGGTGGGATCTATTTCAAACCCTGGAGCCCAGAGAAGCATAATAAGAGCCTGTGTCTCAGTCTAGTCAGTGCTGAGAATCCTCTTGAGACTCAAAGGCAAATCAGGAAACATTTTCCTGTTTTTGACTCTTGCAAATACTCAGTTTTGCTTGTGACAGCATTAGTTGTTTACTCTGAGGAGGCAGGGAATCAAAGGTGACCCAGGCACACTGCCTCTTCTGTCTACCAAGGAGATCCCAGGAGTCTCTGACGCCTTTGGATTGGTACAAGCCAGAATCAGGACTTGCTTTCAGGTAACCCACTTATTAATTCCTCAGGCTTGGATGGCTTAGGCTGGCAGCCTCCATAAAAGGTCCCCAGGGACTGAGAGCCACAAATACACACTTATTCTTCTTTTGGCCATAGCAAACAAAGAAAATTCTTTGGTTCTGCCAACTCTCTATCTCACCTGTGGTATCTTCATCCATCAGCAAGGAGTCCCACATCTTAGGGTCTCAGTCTCCAGTGCCTGCAAACACTGGTGGGGTGGGAAACATGGTGGGGAATCTCTGTATTCAAAGGTCAGTCTTGAACTCTGCTGTGACCTCACAGACAGAGATGAACTATATTCTGCTTTTAAGCTCCAGAAGATTCCTACATTACTTGGTTCAAATTATGGGGCCCAGAGGTTTCTAAATTCATAAATATGACTTGTCTCCTGTTTAAAGGCTAACAATTCAGATGAGGCTGTAAACATCTGAGGAGGATCCTCTGAGCTGGCCCTCCACATTTAAAATTCTCTTAGGCTTTTCTTGTAAAGCAGCAGATGACTTGGGGTTTATCAAATTTCCCATTTCTATTCTTTTCTGTCTCAGAAGGAAATAACCCGAATCTCATGGCTTCTACCATAATATCATTCCAAATGTTTTGTGTCTTATTCCTTTTCATTCTTTTGTTTGTGACTTCTTGCTCTTTTAAGGAAACAATCCTTAGGGTAGAAATGAGAAATGGGTCCGTTAGTCCTAAAAATGGCAGCCCTTCCCCAGGAGACAGAAATGAACCTGACAGTTAGGGATGTGGTACATTATATTCTCAGTCAGTTCACACTCAGCACATTTCTTTGTGATAACATCATCTCTGTCCTCTTGTTTTGGGCAATCAACAGGAAATTAGAAGCTCGCCTTCCCATGAACACGGTAGGATGGGGGACTGTTTTACCACAAACCTCCAACAGGTGAGGTCACCTGAACAACTCAATCAGATTGGGACTTATTTTTTATCTTTAACTATAAAGTCAACAAAGGCCCTCCAGTGGCACAAACAGGGGATCCCTAAATCCCTCGAGTGGCAGATACATTTGGAGATGTCTTTCCAGCTCCAGGTTATCTCCTTGTCTCTGGGACTGATGTTTAGCCTTCCATCTCATCCACTGGAGCAGGCCTGCAGAAACCACGCTTGTTTTGTTGACCCTGCCTTTCCTGTTTCCTAGTAATAGTTGATTGGACGAAAGTGGACACCTGGGCCAAGCTGGACCAGTTAGAGTTCTCCTTTATGGATTTAGAAGTGGCTGTCTGCATCCATCTCTGTGGTGATTGGAAATCTTCCCTCGCATCTCACCGTCTCACTGGGCTCTGCTCTAATGCGTGCTTCCGATCTCACCCTGCCTGCCTCACACCATGCGCCTGCTCTTCCGGCCCTCTTGCTCTGTTTCACCTTTCTCTCTCTACTTTCTTCTTATCTAACATGCGACAGTAGGTGCTTATGGATTAGGCCTGTAGGGTGTCTCTCCTGCTAGAACGTAAACTCCATGAAGGCAGGGCTGGGCTTAATTCACTGATGTCATCCGAGCACCCAGATCAGAGCCTGGCACATACTGTATCCAACTAATAGTAGTTGGCTCAGTGAATGGCAGCTGTGGTCTGATGTATGGTCTACAGAAGCAGGAAAAGCCAGTATGTACAGAGAGAAGGAAGAAGCAGGCTTACAGGGAGAGGTAAACAGGAGAACAAGAGCTTCCTCTCTGGGTCCCAATCCCTTCTCAAGAAGGGCCCAGGCTTCTCGCCTGCCCTTGGACTTACTAGTCCTTGTAATAAATTGCTGCCCTTTCCCTTAAGCTAGCTGCAGTTGCTTTCTATGATTTGCAACAAAAGGACCTTGACTAATTATACAAAAGACAAAAATCTCTTGCTTCCTAGAACTTACATTCTAATGGAGGGAGCTAGACAATGAAAAATAGGTGGAATATATGGTCTGTCACATAGTGATAAGGACTAGGGAAATTTAAATCAGGAAAGAGGGAGCCGGGATTTCTAGAAGGAAAACATTTAAAATTTTAAGTAGAGCCCCCACTTAAAATTCTCAGAGAAAGCCCTGCCTGCCCCCCCATGTGATGTTTGAGCCCAAACCCAAAGCAGATGAGGATGCAAGCCAGAAGTGTATGGTTGTATGCTGTGTGTGGGAAGGGCATTCCAGGCAGAGGGAACAGCAGGTGCGATGGCTCTGAGACAAGTTTGAGACCGAGCAAGGAGCCCAGTAAGCAGAAAGGAAAGGAGGAGGAGGAGGAGAGGTAAGTGGGTGGGGAGGGTGGGGCTCTGTGCATTGTATGAGCTTTGGCTTTTACCCTAAGATCAAAGCCACCGGGGATTTGAGCAGAGTTTTACATTTTAAAAGGATGTCTGGGAGATCAGTGTGGGGGGAGGGGGGATTGCCGTGAGCAGCATGGAAGCAGGAACCCCAGTAAGGAGCTACTGCAATAATCCAGGAGAGAGAGGCTGAGTGACCGCCATGACATAAAGTCCTGGCCAGCTGCATACCTTTCCCACCTTGAGTCCTCCTCTGGGCTCTTCGCCAAAAGGGAAGCTTTTTCATGCTTGTGCATGTGGCATGGGGAAAATAGAGCAGGAGCCATAAATGATGTATTTGGCTCTGATTCAGACCTCAGTTTTCTCATCTGTGAAATGAGGGGTCTGACATTCAGGATCCCTCTTGGTCCCTTCTAGCTCTAACAGGCTATGATTCTGTGGACCTGAGGCCTGAGGGAGCCTGTCACTGAACCCAGGTCCAAACCAAATGCTACATCGTAGGTCACAAAATAAGTAACAAATCACTCTGAGGGTTACTGGAGTAAAGAGTTCAGCCTGCCTCGGGCCTTCAGCTACCAGACATGAAAATGATCTGTGGTAAATATGATTAAGTGGAAAGAGAACAGGTTACAAAACTGAAAGCTTAGATTCCATTTATGTAAAAAAACAAACAAGATGAATGATATACACCAAAGGGTTAGCAAGGGCGCTTTCTCTCTGAGAAGTAAAGTTGTAAATTTTATTTTATTTTTTTCCTGAAACTATTCTGCATGTTCTAAATCTTTTAATATAATTTAATATATGCATGTATGTGTAAATTTATATCCATTCATAAGTGTGGTCTTTATATTTCTTTCATATTTTGATTGCCTCCTCCTCTCCTCCCCCTTCTCCATTCCCACCCTCACTGTCTTGGCACACTCCCCTTCCCATAGTCCAGAAACCCATTTTCTACAATGAACATCAGCTATTATCTTGGTAATACAGCCATCAGTCACACACCAATCAATCATCCATTCATTCCTTAAAAAAAAAACACACAAAAAAAACTCCAAGGCACAGACTTGAAGCCTCTACCTACCATGTAATCATCTTGGCTCTGACCTGTTTTGGGTGGGCTAGGGAAAGGGTGGGTGACAAAACTAAAGAGCATGGGGAGATTTCTGTTACTGGTATCCTGAATGAGTGTCAAAAACCACAGGGCAAATAGGATAATCTGTAACATGACCAGGCAGCTTCGATAGTACAGTAGCTTTAGACTCTCCTACCAGACGTTAACCAGGGGAAATTTCCACGGTTGTTACATACAGGTTGTTAACATGTAGTTCTTGTTAAGGGGCTAGGGAGGTTGCGTGTGTGAGATTGGGACTGGTGACTGCCAATTCCCAAGGTAATGTGCCTGATAGCTTAATATAGAAATTGCAGTTAAGAGATCCATAATTGGTCATTCAGCCTAGAAAGCAAGGCTGTGTGGCAGGCAGATCTCACCAGCCAGGAACAGGATGTATGATGGGCCCCACAAGACTGAGCAGGATGTTGACGGGGTCACTTCCTGCCAAGGAGAGTCACCTTGTGAGACCAAGGCACTAAGTTCTGGGCTACGTCAACCCTTTGAATCTTTCCTGGAACACATGGTTTTATATGTGCATACATTTATACATGTGCGTCTGCGTCTATATTTTTCTTTTTCCCTTTCCCACCTCTGACTCGGACTTTGATGGCCATGAGAAGAAGGGAACTTGTGAACTGGAACATATAACAGTGTATATGAGACCTGCTCGGTTCCCAGAGAAAGGAAGGGCCCTGGGATAAGGTCCAGGCTGCTGGGGCAGACATGCTGAAAACCATGAATTACACAGTCCACTGCTGGAAGAAAGCAGATATAAACAGAGACTATAGGTATGGCAAGGCCTTGGAGGTCATTCATCCTGCCCCCCTCTCTTTGCAGGTGAGGAAACTGATGCCCAGAAATGTTAAAGAGAAAACCCCCTTTCTTCAGCAGCTCAGCGACAACTGATTAGACGGAAGCAAGTTTGCCTGCATGAGTCTGGAAGTGACAGTTCTTACTAAGAATAAAGGAATTAAGAAGACCTTTATTCTTTTGTCATAATAAAATAGAATGTTATTGACTCCTCCAAGGCAGATGCAAATTACTTGGACTCCCTTCACCCTGTCTGAACTGAAAAGGAAATGGATCTGCAGGTGTCTGTGTAGGGAAAGGGTGGCGGTTTTACCCTTAGGCTAGTTGTGATAAATCGCCTGCAGATTGTATCCTCAAGGACTTCTGAGTGGACTTGGAACTTGAACCTGGGCTTCCAGTTTTTCATTCTTGGTGACTCGTATTATTTGGGGAAACCCTATGGGAGTGGATTGGCCTGAAATACAACCCTCTCAAAACACCTTGAATGCCTGGTGTGGGGACATCCGTGCTACAGAGCTGAGAGTCTTAGCAGCTGCAGCAGCAGGAACATGTGTTTACAGACCATGAGTCCCTCTCCTCAAGGTTATTAAATACACCAGAGGATTTTCTCCTTTTTTTACAAGCCCACTAGGCCAATAGCTCCTGTGCTAACAGTTTAAAAAAAAAATTATATTCAGAGAAATTGCCTTCATTTGGGCTAATAGCAAGGAAAACCTGCCTAAATTAGGACCTGAACGGATTTAAAGGAAAAACTGAAACAAAAGGAATTTAAAAAACAAAACCTCAAATATGTACGTATATTAAAACGAAGCAGTTACCAGAATCCTGTACTACTATACCCAACCCCTGGGGCACACAGTATCAGCCGAGGTTCATTAAAGATACTTGGAATCAACTATTTGACGGACAGAGGTTCTTCTGAAATGCTGAAAAGCACGGTGTTCTAATAGTGATAAAATGCCTCTTCACTCTTATTAATTAAAAGAAACTACCAACTTGTCACTGAACAATTTTACTCCTTTATATGGACTTGTGAAATGGAATGAGCACAAACTCCAAATCCTCCTCTAAGTGTTTGGAAAATATTTTCTTGAGGGGACATTCACAGGATCTCCATTGTCACAGGATCTCCTTGCTTCTCACATACTGGGCCAATCTAGGAAATGTCTTTCTTTTTAAGGGGTGGGGGGGGGGGTGCTGGCGAGGACAGATCCTTTTGGAAAATAAAATGGATGGAATAATAAAGGAAACCACACTTTTGAGTTACACCTCGGTCTGAGTTTTCACCTGGATGTAGAAATACATTGAGGGCAGTCTGCTCCCATATGGAGGCAGATGAAAAAAACGGTAAATCTGGCATGCTTGTAATGCAGAAACAATGCCTCAATCCTCCCATCAGCAAAAGAAAGTCACTGAATTGCTCCCACCTGGCATGATTCTCCCTCCTGTCCACTTCTGATTTCCCTTGTGACCGTGACCTCCGCTGGCCTGGAGGGGAGCAGCGAGACTGTGGCTGCACACGCTCCCTCTCTCGGGGTCAGCCAGATGACCCTAAAGGCACCATCTCCTCCTTGCTATCCCGATCATCACCTTTGTCTATGTCGTGTTTTGTTTGAAAATTGTTTTAAAAATAGTTTGTTCTAGAAAAGATATTGGCCTTTTAAGAAAACCAAGATATTTTGTGACTCTAAGCGCTTTGAGAAGGCAGTGTGTGTATTGGAAATCCAGCAGTAAAAGCGATGGTTGCTAAGGGAACAATTGAATTGCTGACACAGAGACATATGATGTGACTGAAAAACTCTTTTTTTCCTTCTCCTGCCACATGGAAAAGAAAGCAGATGAGTCAGAGGGAACGGTGGACGGTCCTGTCTGCCTGTTAAGAAAGCTAGAAGGCCAGAATAGCCTATTAGCCTAAAGGGAGAGAGGTTAAGGCTGAGAAGAGCTGAGAGCAGCGGGAAAGTTGGGGATTAGTCTCTGAAGGTTGAGGCTGAAACTGTGACTCAGAGGAAGCTGAAAAGAGAAAGCCACCTATTAGTGGGACTGACATTAGGCTGTAGTTGATGACGAAGTGCAGAAGGCACTTAATTACATATTAGATATATGTTTCTTTGAACACCATCTCCTACATACTTGGAAATGTTTTTTTATTGATTCATTCTCTCATGTAACTATTCAGTTGCCATTTCTGAGAGCCTCTTGTTTGTTTAAACTCCTTTTGAAAATATAATTTATGGACTTTAAAATTCACCCATTGTGATTATGTAGTGTAATGAAATTTTTTTATTTTTTATTTTTTTACTTTATAGAGTTCTGCAGTCATTCCTCCAATCCAGCTTAGAACATTTCTATCTCCCTTTCGTCCATTCAGAGTCAATCCTGCTCTCAGCCCCAGGCAGCTACTGATCTGTTTTCTATCTCTATAGATTTGCCTTATCTAGAAATTCTATCTAAATGGAATTAAAAGACATGCAGTCTTTTGTGTGTGGCTTATTTCATTTCACATAAAGTTTTTGAGGTTAATCCATGTGGTACCACATGTCCGTAGCTCATTCTTTTTGCTTTGTAATATTGAGTAATAGTCCGTTGTATATCTATATCACATTTTGTTTGTCTGTTCACCAGTAGATGGACATTTGGGTTGTTTCCAGTTTAGGGTGATTGTGAATAAGACTGCCAATGAACATGCACATGCAAGTCTTGATGTGGACTTGTGTTTTCATTTCTCTTGGGTACACATGTAAGAGAATTACAGGATCATATGGTAAGTGTGTGTTTAACATTTTAAGAAATTGCCAAACTGTTTCCAAACTGGTTTTAGCATTTTACATTCCCATCAACAATACCTGAGAGCTCTGGTTTCTCTACATCCCCTGACTACACTTGGTATTGTCAGCCTTTTTGGTTAGGGTCATTCTAATGGGTGTGTAGTAGCACCTCACTATAATTTTTAATTGCACTTTCCTAATGACTAATGATGTTGAGTATCTTTTCATGTCTTAAATGTTCTTTTTAATTAGGAAAAATATTTGAAATAACAGAATTTTGAGAGGAAAATCTGAAAACCAGAAAACTATTAATTAAGGCACATGTCTAAATATTCTCCATCAGGGTTTATAGGAGAGTGTTTCTCATTGCAAACTACTTGCATCAGAGTATTTGTTGAAAATGCAAATCCCCCTGGGCTGCAGAATCTACAGCTGAGTAGGCCTTTTAACCACATTTTTAACTATTCCCCTGCTTGGTGATTTTTATGCACACTGGACTTTGAGAGCCACCATCCTCAAACCAAGGCATTTTCACTCACCTGGTGACCGTTTCACTGACTGCAGGCTCAGGAGTCCCCACCAACTGAGGTCCTTAAGTAACAAGTAGCCCTGTAAGAGACCTTGGACCCAAACATTATGAACTAAGTCAGTGTGTCAGGAGAACCATCTTTCTAACTCTAGATTTCTTCTTCTGGTAATGGAAAGATTAGAATTCATCAGATGCAATGTACATAATCCTTGTGTGCTGTTACTATGCAAAGAATTGCAAGAACCTGGATCCCACCTCCTTTATAAGATGAGCCAGAAGACCCGAGAATGTATATAGATGAAGTGCACTGGGTTCAAATATGAAGACACCGTCTCAACCAAGTTCATGAAAACATTAGCCATTTTTAACAAGGAAAGCTCTGTTTTAGTATCATTTCCACAAGGAAAGCTTAACTTTATCATTAGGTCAACTAAAAACTTATCAGTACCTGGCTTCAATCCATCCAAGGGAGCAGTGGTCCAGGATGGATGCAAGTGTCTTAATGTCACCAGTTCCTTAGATACTTAACTGTTAACGTTAAGTATCTAACGTTATCTGACCTAAATGATTTAAAAATTGCTCTTAGACTCAGGGTTCATTATCATCACTCGGTCATGCTTTATGCATGAGTTTGTAAGCACTATTGCTGTTGCCCAGAAAAAAAGAACAAAAATCCAAAATGCCATGGCCAGACCAGGCTTTGGGAAGAAATTTCACTTTAAAAGGAAGATTCAGGACTCAAAGGGACACATTCTTTGGACACCATGATGATGACTCAAAGCAGAAAATGTTAATAAAACCAGTGGAAAAGCGTCCAAAGAGCTTAAAGTGGAGGTGGGGCTGATGGTCTGGAATCTTACCAAGAAGCTGCTTTTCTTTTCATAAAGGAAAGGCTAAAAAATAAATCTTGTCATTGGTACTTCAAACTAGTTTTAAGTACACTAGGAAAAAAATACATACACACAACCACCCAGACGCCCTCCCACTGGCTATTAATTCTATTTGAATGGACCGTGGGTGGTATCCTGGCCAGCCAGTACATCACTGTGCTGCACCGTATCTCCAGGGACACTCCGAACACACACATTTGACGGCAGGACGGAGCGCTGCTTCTACCTTCTACTCTTTGTGGGATTCTTCCCCTCCAAATGTCTACGCAGAGGCATTGGGAAGTAGAATTGCTTTGTAGGAACCCAGAAATGCAAACATTAATGAATTACGAGGCACAAATTACTTGGCACTGCAAATTGGAACAATTAGCAAACCTTTGTGATGAAGGAACGCTGAACGTGAAACAACTTGAGCATGGAATAAAAATGGACCTATTATTCTTTGACTCAATTAAGCACACATAATATATTGAAGGTGCTTTTGCCAAACCATATATTTATCTATGTTGTTTGAGAGTGAGGGTGGGGCCACTCCTCAGCAAGACCCATTTACACCAACCTTGGAAGAAAAGGAACAAGTAGTTCCTTCAAATGGATGAGAACTAACTCAGTTGCACAACATCTTGTACACAGGTACAACGATGCCAATAACATGAGTTATTTTTTGTAATGGTCACAGATTTTTGTAGAAATTGGCAATAAAGAAATGGACTATCTGAAATAAGGCTACTTAGTAATGTGACTTTTTTTTCCCCTTAGATAAGTCTCAATTACGGACATACTGTTCCTTATATTTGCCCAGATTGTAAACTAGACACATTGGTTGGAAGTGAGGTTTAAAACTGGCAAGCAATTAGAATTTCTGTCCTACCAAAATAAAAATATCAAGGGGCCTATTAATAATTTTACATTTTCAAAAGACCATGGAACCCTTTTCTAGCTTGTCTATCCATATTATTTTTAAAATGTAATCTGTATAATTATCATTAACAACCACCCTCTACAGAATGAGTAACCAGTGACTCAAAGCTGCCATCAGAGCTTGAAGGGACTGTCAAGATGATCTGCAGGGACTCACTCTTTCCCTGCAGGTTAGGCGAACCCTCATCTTCTGACTCCTTGCCCAGGTCCGGCCCTAAATCACTTAAGTATGTGCAAAAACGGGCGTTGGAGAGCTGAGTCAGGCTGGTGGCCCGTCCTGGTCCTGCAGCAGTCATTCAACAGTCAATGCTTCTTTTGGCATTACTTCCTCCTACCACCTCTTTGCCTATCTCTCTATCTCTCTCTCTCTACATTTTTTCCCCTTGAGAGTCATTTTTGCTATAATGCAAAATATTTGCTTTTCTTCCTCAAATAAACTTCTGATTTAGTATACACTGGTCGGTAATATCTTGGCATTTATGTTTATAAAGTTGTTTCTCTTTCAACTTCGGATCTCTTCCATGTTAGGACTCTTTTCTTTTTCTTTTTTCTTTGTGTGTAGGGGGTAACTTTTTAAATAATTTCAAAATTTTGAAAATATTTTAAAATTTCTGAAAAGCAGTAAGAATAGTACAAAGAATTTCCATATACCCTTTACCCAGATTCTACAATGGTTAAATTTTCCCATATTTGCTTGATAATTTTCTTTTGGTCTATACATATTTATTAGCATTTTGTCTGAACCACTTGAGAGTAAATTGCAGTATGATGCCGTTTTACTCCTAAATACATCAGGGTAGATCTTACTTTGAAAAGTATTCCACTTCAATGCTGGACAAGAAAAAGCAGATAAGCAAAAAGCAGGAAATTAAAATCCATCTGGATGCTTACTACCCAGGAATAAAACTTTTTGCTGTATATTCTTCCAGTTCTTTTCTATGGATATAGTCAAGTTTTTTTTAGCTGAGTCATCCTGCCACCTGTTGGCAATTCAGTGGGAGCTCATCTTGGGCTGGGAATCGAATCGGCGACCCTGTTGCTCAGAGCTTG